ACAGCAAAATGAGAGATGTCAAAGTGTACATTTTTACAATTACATTGATGTTAGAGACAAATGTGTTTTCTGCAGCACAAAATAAGACTTAATTAGAATGGGCATCACAGTTAGACTTCACAGAAATGCTGGTTGTGATGTCACAAAACGGCACAGACATTTCTCATAAATATTAATTAGGTTATGCACACACAATTTTACATGATCTTGTACATGTTTAATATGATCTACTAATCATTTCTGGGATCTTGCAGGTCAGCAATTGAACAATAAGTGTGTCTTCATGGTCATTATTACAATATTACATTATTATAATAACATTATTACTCTGAATGCAAGAGGTTCCAGGTTCTAATCCTGGTTTATATAATTAATAAACCAACTGTACATTGGTGGATGCATATTTGGACTGGGGTGACATTTGTTTACAATTTGTTTTGTGAATTCACTAGAACGGATAGCAAGCTTCTGAAAAGCAATAGATTAGAGTCCAAGTCTGAGAGGTGCGAGCTGGAGAGAAAATGCCACTGTTGCTTTCCACAACTGATAACAACCGCAACAAACATACAGAGGTAAAAATAACAAATTCCAGCACCGTATAGCGGTCCATTACAACACACACTAACCAAACAAATCCATGCTGAAAAAACTTTCAAAAAGTTGTGGAGACAAAAATTGGGCATTGCTAGAAAAGTGGAAAACACAAAACAAAATGCAAACAGCATATATTAAACCTTTTTTTGGATACTGCATTAAAGGAATGTTATGGTTTAAATAGTTAAGCTCTATCACCAGCATGTATGCAGTTAATAGTTCATAAAAACAATTAAATACAATTAACTATTAACTGAAATTAAATATTTAAAAAAAAAAAAAATTTTTTTAGACACATTTTCATTTAAAGTTCAGGCACTAAAATAAAATGTAATAAAAACTATACAGACAAAAATGTATAATAGTAGTATATCAATGATACTAAAATAACACTGTTTTTTTGCTGAATAATGTTGTTGAATAATTTCCTATTTGCAATGGGACATAATTTAAACATTTTAATTGTTTTTATTAATAATAACATTTTAAATATGATGTTATTATGTTGTTATTATCATTTAATGTACTACTACATACATACTGGCCACTCCACTCTTGGAAAAAAATAACATATCTGTTGACCAATGTCAAACTGTGTGATCGACAGTTTGTGGCTGTTGTGGTGAATGCAATGCACTGTATATGCATAGTATAAATCACTAGACTCTGCTCTGTGCTGCGCAACTCCGTCAAGATGACACCAATCAATCATTAGTCGATTGACAAACGAGCGGTGTAGTGACAGGCTGAAACATTAGCGGAGTTCTTGGTACGTCAGTTTGCGGTCTTATGGATGGATTAGAGGTATCATGTATATTGCGCTCTGTATTGATAGCAGCTAACAATGGTTGTTGTGTCAAATATCCCATGAAGGGCATATGAAATATTACATCTGCCATTTGCTCAGCCTGAGAGATGGACGATATTCGACACGTTGTCCCGGGCTGCAGAAATGATTGGTTTAGAGTTGCAGTCGCTCACTGAATCAGTCACAGGCTGCAGGTGTTCACTGTATATCTAAAATAGGCAAGAGAACAATGCGTTGTGTTCCAGAACTGTCAATGAGAACTGGGAATCAAGAGGGCCGGTAACAAAGGTCAGAGCAAATCATAAAACACAATCGTTTCGTGCACGAAGGGGCCAACGTCGACAAAAGAAAAAAGGAGACTTTTCATAACCAAAGGCCAAACTGCTTCGGGATCCACGGTGTTATTTCTGCTGTGGGCCACAGACGCACAGGAATGTGTGTGTGAAGTTCACATATTGCTTTTCATCCAGCTTAAACGGAGTGACACCCCCCCTCACACCTGTCAATCATCGCAATGGCAGTGAACAAAACCCTCCACCGGCCCCTGCTTGTCACTCTGTCACTCAAATCCCACCGCAAAAATAAATAGGGAGCAGGAAGCAGCACCGTATGGTAGATGGCTAGAGGGGGTGGGGGAGTGGGAACAACTGCCTTTTAAAAATAATTTTCTCCTCCATTTCTCAATGAGGGATTTCTTTATAATCTCCCTGAGGTGAGAATCATATTTTAATTAGGTCTACCTCTGGTTAACAGTTCCCCTCCCTGCCTGATCAATGTACGTGCCCACCCGGCGGTGCTAGCAGGGCTGTCAGACTCACTCACTTTCAGATCAAACTGGATCAAATCAAAGATGCCAACAATCCTCAGTCTTCTCACTCTCATGACACCCCCCAAAAAACAAAAAGCCAGCTTGTGCCATGCTAGTCTTTAAAGGAGAAGTTCACCAAAACATGAACATTTTGCAATTTTTATACACCCTTGTGTTGTTGTTTTTTTCCTTAGAGAATACCAAAATAATATTTGTAGACATCAACAGGACAAAAAAAAAAAAGAACACTACAAAAGTTAAAACCACCAAAGTTTAAGGAATTATTCTGTGATCAGGGGTGCAAAATTGTCACTTTTTGATAAAAAAAAAAACATAGGTAATTTGTGTGGATCTGATGAGTGCTTAAAGTGTAGCACTGTGTTTATTTACACGCAAACAGATTACGTCATTACAAGCGAGCAGTCTGTGTTTTCAGTGTCTCAGAGCAGCTTGGTTAGCAGTAAATGCTTCTCCACAGGACTCCATCTTTGCAAGTGCTGTGAGTTTGGGTCGCTTATAATCTGCATTTTAAAACGTAATAAGTGCCAACCATCTTCCCAAGTTTGTAATGAGAATTGTTTATAAAAACTGCTGTCAACAAAAAAGAAGCTTTGTGGTCTCCCTGTGGTTTTCTGCCAAAAAATAGAAAATTTGAAAGCAAAGAAATTGAAACAGCGATGAAAATTAGTATTGTAAATTTACAGTTAAATAAAAAATATTGTTTAAATAAAATTGGAATAATTTATTATTTTAATAATAATACTAAGAAGAAGAAGAATATTAAATACCAATTTTTGTAATTTTACAGTAAAATTTTATTATTGTGTTAATATATTACTTTATTGTCTTATTTAAATTTTATAATATAATTGAATTAAATATTTTAGTAATAATAAGAAATAAATAACTATTATTATTATTATTATTATTATTATTAAATACTATTTTTGCTATATTTCAGTATGAAAGTATTATTGTGATTGTTAATATACTGCTTTATTAGCTTTTTAAAATAATTTTTACAATTTATAATTTTTATAATTTAATAAAAATATTTGAGTACAAAAAATACTAAATACAGTAAAGTACAATAAAATATTATGAATAATATATTTTTGTTGTTATTATTGTATAGAAAAGACTATAGAATACCCAAGACATGTCACTCGTTTAGTTTATAGTATATTGTATATTCGTATAGCAACGCTCAATATGGCCGCTCAATCGCAGGAAGCCCTGCCTTCTGAATGAAGGAGCCAATCGGTGAAGTCAGCGCATCACTGCAGCTGCCGTTAGAAGTCGCGATTGCTATAGAAACAGTCAGCGTTTTGAGACATGCACTCAAAACTGTGCATGCGCACTGGCTGATCTAGCCTGAATAATAAGCTTTTTATAACGCTATTTGAGCAAAATAAACAACATTTATGACACAGTTGATATCAGATTTCTTTGGTGATTTCAAATATGAAATTTAATAGTAAGCTTAGTGACCAGTTTTGTAGAATTTGATGTTTCCCCATTCAAAGAGATAGGAGTTGCACTTGCATGCCCGAGAGGCGTTTCAAAGATGGCCGCCGAGTGACATGACTTGTCTTAAAGGGACTTTGTGTATAGTTATAATATGGGTTCTATGAAATACAACAGTGTGAATATTGCTGGTCAGACTTAAATTTCTGTTCATCATACAGAAGGTTGACAGTGTTGAGATATTTTAATTTTTGCTGTATTCCATGACAAAGATAAGAGAGTTAAAATAATATTATTACTCCCTCTATTCATGGCTTCCTGAAGATACTGGCCAAAGACCATCATGCAAAATCATGCATAACACATCAGACTAAGGTGAGACACACAAGGCAATGTACAAACAGAAGGTTATGTGTTCATTTGCTGTAGGATTTTGTCTGTTGAACACAGAGTCAGTCACATGCAGTGCTGACATTTCACTTCCTAAACGGTTCCCCTAGAATCCGATGCATGTCTGTGGGGCTGGCAGACACACCCCACACGCTGCGCAGGTTCCCAGTGTGAAATCAACAGGACGTTGTGTTTCACAGAGCATGTTAAAACACTGACGTGAGAAGACTAAGGTATATTTCACAGCTAAAATGTTAACACGAGTTCACTGAGACATCCATAGGGATATCAGCATGGTAATTAATCATAATAGAGCAAAAATCTGAAGAAGATATTTGCGAAAAAGTGATATTATGGAACGTTTGCTGTAGTAATAGAGCTTAAATTGAACCGAGACACATTTGGAAGGGCAAAGTTTAAAGTGGCAGCTGCTGGGAGGATGTTTCTGGTTATGAGAGCAACAATATAAATGAATTACAGGAAGAATGTCTAGTATGTCTCCGGCGGAATTTATTAATGGCTAAACGAAATTGACGTTAGACTATCCCGCTTAGTCCTTACATTTTCTTTTTTGGATTCATTTTCCGTCTCATTGTTTTATGACCCCAGCAGCTGCTGTGAGAGCAGTTTGGCTTGAGCAAAGAAGCTGTTTACGATCAGCACACTGTTGTCTGGGCAGACGTCAAAGTGCAGATTTATTCAGAGACCAAAAGCTCCATTAGACGGAGTTTTTAATTAGCACACTTGTGTGAGAGGGTCATTAAGAATGATTTGCTGTTGTGATTGAGGGCTTGCTGATGGGCAAGACACAGACCCTGCTGAGTCTGCTTCTGACCCCAAACTCATAGATCTAGCTTCGAAATTTGGCCAACTTTTCACTGGATCCAGTGTTACCCTGCTAAATGAGATGTAACAGAAGTCTAAATTGCCTACCGGTTTCTGGGTGTTCCATCTCTCCGATGCTGCCATCAGGGGTGGTCCGTTCGTAGTGGTCCTCGGGCAGGGCGAGGGGGCCGATACGTGGTCCTGAAGAGCTCTTGCTGCTGGGGGTCTCAGATTCCTCCAGACCACTGTCGTAGTAACTCTGCTGAGAGGAGTCCTGCTGATCTTGCATGGGATTGGCTGTTGAGAACGTCACTCTGCGATGCGGGAGCTGCGATCGAGAGGAAAGAGGGCCTTCAGTCATACAACAATCTAATTAAAACTTTAGGCCCCAAAACTAGGCTAATTGACCACTAAATTTGTAATATCACACTTCAGCAAACGGGCATTTTCAATATGTAATTTCCAGAGGGGCGGCTAATGAGGAAACATTTTGTTCAAATTGAGGGGAAATGGTAAAGAGGGAATCACTTATTAGAGTATCTCTCGGCAGAGGGGAGAAAGCAATATAACTCTTCTTTGATATCACTGCTTAGGTGACCACATTGTTTTTCACAAGGCCAATGAGGGCAAACACTCATGCTGAAATACAGAGGCGCAGAGCTCATAAAACAGTGGAAATCACAGAATCCTGCAAAAAAGCACCCATTCCCAATTCTGTGTGAGCTCACAGCTCGCCGACTGCGGGGAGGGATCGATAGTGCCAGGCTGCACACACACGTACAAACACACACAGACTGGCAAACAGAACCATTTTAGAGTAGGAATTAGGGCCATTAAGAGAGCAATTTCAGTTCATATAAAAAGCCCATTAACACAGCCATTTAAAACATATAGAGACCATTAACGCTACGTACTTCACCATCCCAAAGTCGTAAGGCTTTCTTTTTCCCCTCTAATTCAGCATGTTTATTTATAAGCTCATTAATCAATTATGTTCTTGACTTCTGCTGAAATTTAATGTCCAAATTGTTCAGAAATGCAGTGCGCACACAAATATTGCTAATCTGTACATTTGCGTAGCTAGTCATGCAACATATTGCTCATTTACATACATGCTAGAGTTTTAGAAGAAGAAAATGACAGCATACTCTCCAAACGGTGTCATAGATGTGCACTCCAATTACAGACATCTTTGTTAATTATGAGAGGAATTTTTTGACGTGTTGCAAGAAAGGTGTACAGTGTGACTGTAGATTGTTAATGGCTGTCCTGCAACTTGTAGTACAATAGAATTCAACTCAGGTGTGATCGCAACTATGCATACGTAAATGGTTGATGGAAATCAAACCCCATAATGTTATATATATTAAATAACCATGTATTAATGTCGTAATATGTACTATATATACTAGATATATACATTTAGGGGTTCGATTTCCAGCAACATTAACTATATTGTGATATATACTGTTACCATAATATTAAATTACTTGTACCGTGATATAAGATCTTGGTCATTCTGCCCACCCTAAATCTATTTACTTACACACATCCCCTCATTGCTGATAGACTGTACACACACTTCCACTGAACATTTGTACTTTGTGCTCACTCTTTACTCTGTCACGTTCATGAGTTGTAGGCCTGTTCTTCGTGTGCTCCCTTGTGCCCTGGTATTTACGGTTAGTGAGGCACTGAAGTGCGTAGACGAACATTCTCACTGCACAGTAATTACATCGACTTCCTTAGCAAACTCAGACATGGACTCACAGGATGAGTCCCTCTGTTGTCAGAGTTGTGTGGAAGTGTTGTATGAAGAGAGAAAGAGATACAGGGGAGAACCATGGGGTGTTTTGTCTTGGGGCGGTAACTTTTTTATATATTTCCTTTTTTAATTTTCTTATTCATTTGTAGTCTTTGATGTGCAAGGGACCGCATGCACACCATTCTTCAGGTGGCGCACGTTTTAGTCATTGTTTTATCTATTGTAAAATGTGCTTATCATGCTTTGTAGAAAATGCAAATGGCACTGCTTGATCACTGTAAAGGGATGTAGTGATTACAAGGCCACATGTAGTATGCAAATTGTAGCGTTTGATCTACAGTAAGGGACTTTGAAAAGAAAAATCCTCAAGTGAGGTTTTATTAGGGAAAGCGCGTTATTACAGTTATGATATTTTAATTGCTAATATCGTTGCCATCCCAGGTACCATCCTGGAATAATGGCATTCTCAGCGACTAGAATTGTACTTCAGACACGTTGCTATTTAAACCTTAGAGAGGCATTTAGTTATTTAAATATGGATTCTTGCTTAAACTGCTCCTACAGGCATTGCTCGAGAGTCAGCACTTTTATCCCCCCTTAGTGCTGGAAGCTGCAGCTCTGCAGTTCTGCAGATGGGGTAGAGTCTCAGCACACGGTCCAGTCTCTCTCTCTCCCTCCAGAGGGATGGGGGGTTGTGTAACGGGGTAGCAGTGAGGCAGGACCAAGATAAAGGAACATGGCCTTGACTCTGGATGTAAGAGGGCCAGTCTCCATTCTAGTTCTGCACTGATGCCTGGAATAAAGTGATCCCTGATTAGAATCAACCTGCATGAATTTTCATGACTGTGAATTGGGTAACTGGAGTTGGGCACTTTGAAGGCAGAGGGTTTCGTTAAAGAGTCTTGGATTGGAAGAAGAGTCGGAGAGAGAATCTTAAGATTGTAGAGTGGTCAGAGTCTTGGATTGGAGAGTGTCTTGTACTGGGCAGAGAATCTTGGACAGGTCAGAGAGTCTTGGATTGGAGAGAGAGAATAGGACCAGGCTGAGAGGCTTGCTGTGGAGAGACAGCCTAGAACTAGGCAGGGAGTCCTGGATTGGAAAGGGTCTCGGATAGGACAGAGAGATTTGGACCAGGCATAAAGTCTTACTTTGGAGAGACTAAGCAGGGAGCATTGGATTGGAGAGGGATCTTGGACTGGAGACTGAGACTTAGATTGTAGAGGACTTGGACTGGAGAGGGTGAGTGCTAATCTGCTGTATCCAGGACAGAAATGGAGAACTGTATTAGGGTTACTGGGACTGGCTGTTAAACTGGACTTGAAGCCAAAGAACGGTTTGATTATGCACCACAAATGTGACTGGACAAAGAAAAGAGATAGACAACATGCCCCTTAAGGAACTGGAGTAAAACTAGAACAGTGCACATGGAAAAAATGGAATAATACAAACATGCAATACTGAATATGCAAGAGCATTTCACTTGACAGAAATAAAACCCAGAGACAGTGGGAAAAAATGGCGTTTGCTGGGTTGGGGTGTTGTGCCTCTGAGCGTATAATGGGGTACTGCCTGATATCTGTCAATTCATCACGTACGAGGTGTGGTTTGAGGTGAAATACTCCACAAATGGATAGCCGATACACGGGGTGGTTTAAGCTGCAGGCAGGGCGGCGAGGCTGAGCTTTTCCTACCAGTGATTCATTCAGCCTATTACTCCTGCATGCTGTCATACCAAATGGCGTGAACTATGAGATTTGTCATTAGAAGTGGCAGCTCGATCCCCTGTACTCTGTGTAGGGCCAATGCAGGCTTTTACAGTGTCAGCGCTGCTGCAGCCTTAAACCCTGTACCAGTTTTAAACATTCTGCTTTAGGAGTGCCGCTTTCCAGGCAGGGAGGGAGATCTATTGAGGGAGAAGCTCTCATGTCTCTCAGACACAGAGGGGTTTGTATCTACTGAGCTTTGCTGGTGCAATTAGCCACTAGTGAATGCTAAACAGGTCTGACAATGGCTTTCACCTGCCCTCTCTCATTTCAATCACCAGCCCCTCTTCTTCTTCATGTCTCATGTCTTCACTTTTTCCTGTTTTTGTGACCACCCCCTCCATTCTGTTTCATTCTCCAACACATTCCCAGAGTGCCCCTCCCCAACTCCCCATTTCTCCCTCCCTGTGTCTCTTTGATAAGTCTGGACTCTTTGAAGACCCTAGTGTCACACTTCTTGCCTCCAAGCTATTGCACCTACAAAAAAAAGGAAAAACACAACTCTGGAAGATGGAAGAGGAAAAAGCAGAGGAGGTGAGAGTCGGATGAAAAATAAGAACAGATCCGTTCGCAGCATTTTTTTTATTTCAATATAAAATTTTGAGTCTTAATCACTCACAATCCAAGTTAAAGGGAGTTTATAATTCAATGAAAACTCTGTCATCATCTGCAGAACACAAAAGTAGATATTCTGAATAACGTTCAGGTAAATGTGCTGAAATAGCACCTGAATTAACTTAGTGTCATTTCTATGCAAATTAAGCTTTATTCACTAAACTCAGTGGTATTTTCCTGCCGCAATGAACACTGCTCTATTAACATGCACAAAAAAGCTGGTAGGAATCACAATTTTATGACAAAGAGATGCTTGGGCACATTTTCTACTGATCATGGCAGCAGTTTTTAATCAAATGATGATCAAATTATAGAGAAGAGCACAATAATTGGGCATACATTCTAATGACGAACACACATTCACATTTGAAAGAGAATCACACCGTTATATAATTTACATAATTCTTTAGTGAATTGGCCACTAAGAAAAGACAGCGTGGGCAATTAAGCAGCACTAAAAGCCAGCATAATGCTTTCTCAGTGAATTCTCCTAGTGTTAATCTTGTCAACGAAATTACAGATATAAATGTTTGTTAAAGTTTATTTTTTTAATTACATTACAATGACGATATGATAATTAAACTAATAATAAAAAAATACTGATGATGAAAATATAACAAGAAAAGCAGTGAATTAATGTATTACCAATGTTTCCAAAGAAGGAAAATTTAGATGGAAAATTATTTTTACAGGATATTTAGGTTAAAAGGAAAACTGACAGCTAAAAAGCTTTTAAACAATCAAGTCTAACTATTTGAATGAACATTAACTAGAGATCTTGTATACTTGTATACATTTTAATTCCTAATAAATTTGTTCTTCATTTAAGTTGTTCTAAAGCAAATTAATCTTCCTTTAATATAATGTGGGTTCCTGGGTTGACTTTGAGTCTTTGTGAGAGATTTGTAAAAGTTGAAAAGCCCTGGTCTAGACTATATTCAATAAATTATTATGTTGAGCGCAAGACAAATAACATAATTTATGTTGTCTGCAACATCAGATGCCATCTAAACTAGAAGAATCTCTGTCATGACTGGGAAAACACAGTAGCCGAATCTGCAAACCAGCTTGGGCATTTTCTTGTTAGACTGCAATGGCTGTCATTGTTGACCTTGCCGTGAACCCATAACCTTTCAAACTCTTCGGCCTCCTGTCCATCAGCGGGACAAGATGCGAAACAAACAC